GAATATAGTACAAGGTACAAGAAATTACTGGGATGCCCCTGATTAGTGATGGGACACCCAGATGACTTAAATCATTAAACAGGATTAGGCCCATTAACACAAGCCCAGTTACAAGATAAGTTAAACATAAGAATGGGTTAATAAGAACACTTATCAGCCGAACATAACTCTAACATTCTAACACTTTTTATCTTTTTTTTTTATTTTTTTATTTTGGTTGCCTGGACTGGGACATATATCTTTTATTGCAATGTGGTTGCCAACCCATTTAGCCAGAGATGGAGCCTTGAAGTTGGATGGTGAATAACCTGGATTTGGGAATATGATGATCTCATGATCAAGATGAGGCTGACCAACCAACTGTGCCGCAAGATTGTTTTTTTCCTTTTTTATTCATTTTCTTTTTCATGAGGCAAGCTAGACTGAAGAACTTTGTATTAGTTTACAAAGTCGGTTGTCTCAGGGTTTGGTTATTCTATTTTTCAGATCACTTTCCTTTGCTATTCACTTAATTGGCAGACTAGTATAGTTGATGTTTTTAACACGGTTTCTAATTTCTATTACCCATAACAAACATATATCACCATTTTCTTTGTATAGGAACGCTTGATGGATTCTCTTTTGATTCGGAGGAGGAGACAGACAAGATACCTACAGCTGTTGCTTGTCAGACTGATCAAAACGATGAAGCTGAAGAACAACAGACCACTGGAAAGACCAAGGGAAAGGTTGATAAGACATTGGTATGCCATGAGCCATCACTTCTCCATAAATGATAAAACCCAACTGTGAAATTTTAATATGCATGTATGCTAATAGGATGTAATCTGGATGCAGGGGGTCAGAAAGAAAGGTAAAGCTGCAGGAAAGCCTCCAAAAAAAGGAAAAAGGAAAGCTCAAGCTCCAAAGAAGGCAAAAAGTGCCAAAAAATAAGTAGCATTGCATTCATTGGCCAAAAGAAACTGTAATTTTACATAGGGAATTAGGGATTGATGAAGCAGGCCATCTTGTTATATATTATACCAATGGAGCTGTTGTTGTACTTGTCTGGTGTTCAATAGCTAGCTGTATACCCCATGTTTAGATGACCACAGCATGGTTGCTTCTTTGATGGGATGAAATATCTAGGTATCTGTACAAGGGTGCCGTTTCATATCAGCAAGTTCATTATCTCTTGGATGGGATCCTTAATGGTTCGTCCAGTTCCTCTGAAAAATGAGACAATTAGTCAGTTAAGGGAGCCCAACTCTTCCGGCTGACCCAGAATGTTACATTCTAGTTTGGGTAGTGCTGCTTTCCATCTAGAGCTGTCAATGGGTTGGATCTACCCGATAGAACCGAGTCGACCAAACCAATTATACCAATTATATTGGTTCCGGTTCTGTAGCTTGTGGCCTGATTAATGATTGAGTTGGACTGGTTCTTGTTCTAAATTGATTATATGGTTAATAATACATAGAGGTCTCCTGTTTTTTTTCCTTTTTTTTGTAATTTTTATTATAATTTGTCTAAAAGGATAAATTTTACAGATATATAATAATATTATAAGAAAATTTTGGTTAAACTTGTTTTATCAGCATATAAACTGCTTACTATTTTACTGCATTTTTATTAAGGTTATATCAATGTTCCAAAAACCAACCTGGAGGCCAAATCATTTTTGCCTTAAGGTCATGGGTTACCATTTCGATTGTCTGGGTTGAACAAGTTGGACTGTGCTATGTCAGCAAGATGGATGTATATTGATAAACATATATTTTATCAATAAATAATATATATAATTATATTCTACATGTAATATATATTATCCTATATTTAATTTTAATTTTTTTACTTGTAAAACAATAATAAAAATTGCAATTTGAGGCAAAAAAAAAGTGTTTTTTTGGCAAAAATAGCTGAGCAAGGCGCCTTTGGTGCCTTAGGATGCATAGATCTAAAAAATTTAATGAAAATGAAAAAAAAATCACCTTAATCAAACATTTGAGTGCAAAGTTATGGCTTCTCGAAATTTAAATATACATTAGTGTGCAATTCGTGACCCAGTCATTGGGTTGAATGGGTCAATGGTCCAACCGCTTGAGTCATACGGTTTTAGATAGTCAACAATTTTTTACCTCACTTTGGGTTTTACTCAAATCGGACCTAAAATCTTGATGGGATGATAGTTTGAGAGGTTCAACCGATTGGGTAATGGGTTGAAAGCACTGGGTTATATTATAAAATGAATTTCTAAGTTAGTCATTTTTCATTGCTAAATATAAATGTCAAGCACAATTGGATCAGACCCAATTATTCTTCATAGACTGAAATGGGCTACATAAGATGGGGTAGTATGTCTCCAAGCATCACAAAACCAAATAAGCACTAGATCCCTAGTAACTCACCAACAAACTCACCATTATTAGACCTTATTATTCTGATTAATAATTGGTTTGGTTCTGGCTAGGTCTATCTAAAAGAAGCAATTAATAATTGGTTCAAGATTGGTCCACCCTGACCTGACGCATTGACAACTCCATTTTGGCGTTTGGATCACCTGCCAACAAAATACATTTCTCTTCAAGTTCTTTCATTTTCATTTAAAGATTCCAAGATCTGCAAAGATGGATTGAGAGAAACATTTACTCGGGAAAAAAAAGAGAATAGATATGACAAATAAGAAGATTTGAACCATCAATAAGTTGCAAATAATACCAATAGGTCATACCTACTTACAATTTTATTTGTTTAAGATTTATCATTTAGTTATTTCTCTTCTTAGTGCATTAAAAAAATTAAAAAAAAATAATTGATTATTAAAATTTATAATGAGTGTTCTTTAATTGGAGAATTTCCGTCATGTCTCAAAAGGTCAAACACGCATAAAAATGTTAATTTTATACTTCATTTATAACCTCTGAATCTTTGCATAAAATTTAGGTCTTGAAATAGCAATCTATTATCATTAAGAACAAAGAGAGGGCACCTTCTTACCCAGCCTACACCCCTGTGGTTCATCATGTATTATATCGGTAAGCTTAGATATAAAATATAAATATATATCACAATACACTTTTGATATGCATGAATATGGTGGAAAGATGTGGATGGAAAAATTATTACAGATACCACAAATACATCAATAATAATAAATCTAAGGTTGAAATAGCGGCAGAGGTAAAAACTTTTCTTGAGGGGGGCCGTGGATTTGGTGGTG